GGGAAAGATGTTGAAGGAAGCATTTCATTTCTATCTATCAGCTCCAAATGCCTGTCAATCACATAATAAAGTCATCAACTATATTTGTCATATAAACCCCTATGTTTTGCGTTTGCATTTAGCGTTTGCGTTTGCGTTTGATACATCTTCTGAGTGTGTGGGGAGGACTAAAAGCTATGGCGGGTGAAAAAGTTTGGACCCTCAAAGAGTAAAACGGAAAAACTAACAAGTTCTATTCACTTGAGAAAAAGTCAAGTACAACTCACTTTTTGTTAGAGCTACTCAACACCCAGATGAAACTCCCCCCGAGTTTCAACCCACTCTCACAATGAATTCTACCGATTAAAAACCTTACCAAACATAAACGCTCACCAAAGGAACGGAGATTTTCCCATTAGGTCTCCCCCTCAGATCCACGCCCAAACACTCACCAGAGAAAAGAGATTTGCCCAATCGGTCTCTCTCTCAAACCCACACTCACTCAAAAGTGAGTGCTCACTCACTAACACAAAAACTCTTTTAGTAAAATATGCTTTGCTTTCCGTGAGAACTGATATGCACTTGCTCTCTCCTTTATATATGCTCCTCTAGTTCGCCTTAGATCTCCACGAATTGATTTGATAGACTCCTCCTTGATTCTCTTTGATTTCATCTTTATCTCCAAGATCTCATCTTTATCTCTTGTTTGACTCTATCTCTTCAGCCTTTGACCTTATCTCCAAGATCTTATCTTTATCTCAAATCTCCTCAAATATTCTTGGCTTTGATTCTATCTTCATCTCTTCGAGTCAAATCCAAACTTCGTGGCTATATCTCTTCAGATTGCTTTTCCTAAAATCTCTCCAAGTGGTTGTCATTGAGTCCATCTCAATCTGTCTTTGACTTTTACTCCAACTCTCCAGATTTACCTCAAAATATTTCGAGTTGTATCTCGCCGGATTTCTCTCCTGAATCTGCATTATCCACTTAACAACCAAAACAATACATGTGCAAATAATTGCACTAACAATCTCCCCCTTTTTGGTTATTTCAGATCATGCACACACACATAAAAATGCTCTCAATTCAGCACAACTTCGCATCAGGATTCGCATTATGATTCAGACATATTTGACTTTGATTCACTTAACAACACATTTCTCCACATTCACTGAGACACATTTGACTTAAATTTGAAGTAACTCTGACCACTTTGACCTTGTTTTTTTCTTTTGTTCATGTACGTTCTCAGTTCCATTGATGGAATCATTATTTCCCTTCCACTTGAGTGTCCCCTTGAGCCACTAACCTTGGTTTGTTGTGACTGACTCTTCCATCTTCATGCATTATCTTGAGGTAGTACTCATCATTCAAACCCTCGTGCATCTTAATAGATTCATCCTGCGAAATAAAGCACACAAACAAACCGAGCATGCAAGTTTCACCATTTAAGTCCAGACTATCTCACTGAGATATACTCTTGTAATGTTTCAAATTACAGCGGAGTATGATGCATGAATATCATTTGCCCTTAGACCATCGTATAGACTGCATGTGGTTCAACTTAGACCCGAGTGATTCAATTTTCCAATCTACTCATATCAACTTTTCTTCCTTTCCTTTTTCTTTCTTTTTCTTTTTCCTTTTTCATCACTTTTTTTTTTCTTCTTTTCCTTCCTTTTTTTCTTTGTCATTCAGGAGTACTAAGTCAATAGAGGAGTATCAGGGGATGCCCATGTCATTTTTTTTTAAAGTATACTTGGCATACCTGTCAAGTATCACTGACTCTCCTTCACAATCATTGAACCAAATCACTTTCGAATAGACACCATTAGAGATAAAATCAGATTTCTCCTAAACCAAAAGATTTTTTTTTAAACACACAAACCCATTCATATCAAGTGGTTTCGTAAAGATATCAGCTAATTGGCGTTCAATGAGTGCATACTCAATCAAAAGACCGCTCTAATTTTCTCTTTGAGAAAGTGGTACCGAATTCATACCTTCCACTTGAGTGTACCCTTGAGCCACTAACCTTGGTTTGTTGTGACTGACTCTTCCATCTTCATGCATTATCTTGAGTTAGTACTCATCATTCAAACCCTCGTGCATCTTAATAGATTCATCCTGCGAAATAAAGCACACAAACCTAGCCATATCTTGATAATTTAATCGAGGTTTGTCCCTTACCTGTCGTGGGTCATTCACACTTCCACTCACATCATTAGCTAGGTAGTTTCGACGAACAGGGGGCTCAGGATCACTTTTCATATCCTCTTCTAGCACTTCAGAATTCTGAGATGAAGTGAGATGTACCTGGTCAAGATCTGAGTGATTACTGACTGGTTCTCGAAGTATATCAGATATCTCGTAAGCTTTCCCTCTACTTTGATGCCATAACTCTGTCCTCGATTGATCATCCCAAGTATAACAGTTACTCGGTGTTCGCTTTCCTGTCAACACACACTCATTCAACGAGTTAGTGACTAAACATACATCTTTAGTGAAGTGTACCTGAAGTCCAGAGTCACAAAGTTGACTTATGCTAATGAGATTCGCCTTGAGTCCTTCAACCACATTCACATTAGTAAGGGTAGGCAGTGCAGATGAGTCCAGCGTTCCTTTTCCAATGATCTTTCCTTTTCGTCCATCGCCAAATGTAACATTGTCACCCGTGTTGCTTCCTTCAAAAGTAGATAGTCGACTCATGTCACCAGTCATGTGTGGCGAGCATCCACTGTCGAAGTACCACTGACTTTCTCTTGAATTCAGCTCTGATGTACAAGCAATATTGCACATGTTGATATCTTTCCTCCTCCAGACTTGTCTCCATCTTGGTGCGAGTGGTACCTGATTTCTCCTCCATTAGCAGTTCACTCTGATATATCATCTTTTGCCACAATGAAAACAACTTCTGTGCTCACGATACTGCTTTCTCGGATGAAGATCAACCTTGATTCTTGGAGTATTTTTGACCGGAACAATATTCTCATCTCCAAGCTTTCCTCCAGAAACAAAGTTTCCTACTTTGTTAATACTTCGTCCAGTGTATCCTAGGTCAGCATGCCCAGAATCAGTTCGCCCAATTCTCAGTAGATGATCAAGCTTTCCTGTACCACTTCCGAGCATCCTTACTTTTTTCATAGTCTCATCCAATTGACTTTGTAGTAAGGTGATCTTTTCTTCTTTTTCTTTCAGCTGCTTCTTTAGATCAATGGTCGTTGACTCCTTCTCCTTTTGTTCTTTGATCAACTGTTTCTTCAGGTCAGTGATTGTTGACTCACTCTGTTTCTGTTCCTTGATCAGCTTCATGTTGATATCGTAAAGCTTTGTCATCTCTTTGTACAGATCTTCTTCACTAACCTCCTCTTCTTGTTCCTCATGTTCTTTTGTGTCACCAAAGAGTGCAACGAAATTTGAGTGTTTTTCTTCTTCATCTTCATCAGATTCAGTTACCAACTCTTCGTGAGTGAGTGAAGATTTTCCTTTTGACTTCCCACCAGCACACTCGTTCTTCATATGACCATACCCTTTGCATTCATAACATTGAAGATCCTTTAGATTCCTCAACATTGCTTCTCTCTTAGCAATGTTAGGACACTCAGCTTTCCAATGACCAGCTCCCTTGCATTCGAGACACTTTCCAGTGTTTCTCAGCTCAGATTTTCCAGCAGTCACTGGCTTTTTCTTGAAAAATCTGTTGAGCTTTTTGACAATCATCATCATGTCCTCGTCCAGTGATACTTGACCTTGAGTGTCAGATATCTCTGGGACATGGAAAGCCATATTTTTGTGCGACGTTGTTGCTCTCTTTGGCTTCTCATACAACTCTAATTCTAATTCATGAGCAGCAAATGCACCAACTGTTTCTTTGAAACTAACAGTGTCTACATTATTTACCATGGTGAATACAGATTTATGAGACATAAACTTTTTAGGTAAACTTACAAGAAGTTTGGCCACTAATTGTTTGTCTCGGTAGGTCTTTCCAAGAACCTCAGCCTTGTTTGCTAATGCATTCAGCTTCCCGCAAAATTCCTTGACACTTTCGTTTTCACCCATCTGAAGCATGTTGAATTGATGTTTGATCAGATCTCTCCTTGTGCGTTTAACACTTGAGGTACCTTCATGAATTAGTTCAAGTGCATCCCAGGCTTCTTTTGCTGACTTACACCCTTGGATCTGCTTGAATTCGTCCTTATCAACGGTATTGAAGATGATGGTTATCGCCTTTGAATTTAATGCCGATGCTCTCTTCTCTTTGGTTGTCCATTTAGATCTAGGCTTCAGAATTTCCTTCCCATCAACCACGTGAGTTGGAGCACTCCATCCTTCTTCCACCGAACTCCAAGCATCTTCATCAATCCCTTTGATGAGATTCATTGCTTTTACTTTCCAAAAGCTATAATTCTCCGAATCAAGAATTGTGTACGTCCCAAGAGCGTGAAACCCTTTGATCGAGTCCATGTTGTGTCTTCCACACTTGCACCGATATGAGAGGACAAGTTCCTACGATCGGTGACCAGCTCTGATACCAATTGAAAAAGTTTGGACCCTCAAAGAGTAAAACGGAAAAACTAACCAGTTCTATTCACTTGAGAAAAAGTCAAGTACAACTCACTTTTTATTAGAGCTACTCAACACCCAGATGAAACTCCCCCCGAGTTTCAACCCACTCTCACAATGAATTCTACCGATTAAAAACCTTACCAAACATAAACGCTCACCAAAGGAACGGAGATTTTCCCATTAGGTATCCCCCTCAGATCCACGCCCAAACACTCACCAGAGAAAAGAGATTTGCCCAATCGGTCTCTCTCTCAAACCCACACTCACTCAAAAGTGAGTGCTCACTCACTAACACAAAAACTCTTTTAGTAAAATATGCTTTGCTCTCCGTGAGAACTGATATGCACTTGCTCTCTCCTTTATATAGGCTCCTCTAGTTCGCCTTAGATCTCCACGAATTGATTTGATAGACTCCTCCTTGATTCTCTTTGATTTCATCTTTATCTCCAAAATCTCATCTTTATCTCTTGTTTGACTCTATCTCTTCAGCCTTTGACCTTATCTCCAAGATCTTATCTTTATCTCAAATCTCCTCAAAT